TTTTTTTTTTTTTTTTTTTTTTTTGTCTTTTTCGTGACCGGTGCTCAGCCAGTGAGCGCACTGGCCATTCCTACATAGGATCAGAACCCGCGGCGGGAGCGGCGGTACGCTCCCAGCGCTGCACTCTCCCGAGTGCACCACGGGGCCGGCCCCAAGAAGTAGTAGCTTTAAATAATGCTTGTATTATTTAAGGAAATGTCTTTTAAAGATCTTATGCTATTTTAGATCTTACCCACTTCAATTTTGTCACTTAGATAAGTGACAAAAGATAAGTGATAAGATAATTTTGACTTAGATAAGTAAAGAATGGCATTCGGAAGAAAAACATTTTTTTAAACAAAGCCTGTTTAGAGAATGTCCTTAAGTCAGAAACATGAAATCATCCGGTTACTTACCATTGAAGCCGACCAGCAAGGCACCACTCTAGCTATTTCTTTATCTTAATGTTGTTTACAAAAATGTTCAAATAGATTACAGAAATTGTTTTTTTTTTGGTTTAGAAAATGTTCAGTGTGTACTTAACAGGATTCAAGTGATAATAGGTCAAGTCCTTGCCTTTAGTGCCTTCTTCACTATTTAATTGGTCTCCCTTTCTAGATAAGACATATATATATATAACCGTGTATCAAATTATACTGTTAACTTGCAAAATGAAGAGGATAAAATTGAATGTTGGAATAAAATAGCTTAACATTTGAGCTTACATTTTTTAAGGTATGTGATCTGGAACAAAGTTACTAAACCTCATTTAAAAACTGAACCTCAGGGCTGACCCATGTCTCACTTGGGAGAGTGTGGTGCTGATAACACCAAATCAAGGTTAAGATCCCCTTACCGGTCATCTTTAAAAAAAAAAACACAGAAAAACTGAACCTCACCTCATGGGATTTTTGTGGGGATAAATGAGATCATATTTGATAATACCTAGTATATATTAATCTTAATGAACATTTATTCCTTCTTTCCTTTAAGCTTTCTTTCCCTCTTTCCAAATCTCAACTGAGAGTTCTCTGAGACCAGGCAAATATAATTTAATGGCACAAATTATTTTTAAAATGAAAGATTACTCATGGTGATAAATTAAAACTACAGAAAGGATATTAAAATGAAAAGTAGCTTTCATATTACCTACTCTTACCCCATAGATGTTTTTCTCCAGAGGTAACCTCTATTAACAGTTTTTAGTCTTATGAAATTTCTTATGCATATATCTTTTATTTTTTTATATGAAGAGATTATACTCTACATTCAAGGTCTTAGTTTTTTCAGTTAATATATTATTATTATTCTATATCACTGGCTTGTACCACCCCATATTTTCTATAGTACATTCCATTGTGTGAATATACAGGAATATCTTTGTATATATATCTTAGTGTGCTTTTGCAAATATATGCTTAAGCTAAATTACTAACAATGAAATTGCTAGAGCAAAAACTAATATGCATGTTCTCCCTTTTTGTTAAACAGTGGAAGGCCTCATTGAATGGGGAGTGTCTGATTTGCTCACTGTTTGGGCCTCTCGGCTGGCTATTACAGCAAACATGTTTCTTGATTTATTTATTAAAAATTTACTTAAAAAAAAAACTTCCTTAAGTCACACCAGAGGCCAGAGTCTTGAATTTGTGTTTATCTTTTAATTGTAGGGTAAATTTAATTTTTCCTATGAGCTAGTCAAATTGTATACATTCTGAATGTCAGTAGGTATTGCCATATTGCCCCGTGAGAAGGTTAACCAATTTTTACTACTACCAGCAGTATGATCTGTATTCCTCATCCTCACCAATGCTTAATATTGTCATACTTAATGGGTTTTGCTGGTGTGAAAGATGAAAAGTAATAACTTGATATTTTGGTATGCATTTATTTAATTACGATTCAAGTTGCACGTTTTTTTCAAGTGCTTTATTGGACATTTGTGGGTTTTTTATCTTGTTAACTACCTTGTTTATCCGTTGTCCATTTACTGTTATACTTATTGATACTCTGATATAATGAATAATGTCTTTCTTTCTGGTGGAATTGGTATTGTAATTTGTACTTTGACATTTCTTAAGTTTTCTACAACTGAAAATAAATGCTTTTAAATGTTTATTGGTTTTCTAAGCTATGTAACAAATTACTACAAATTTAGCAGCTTAAAACAACACCCATTTTATTATCTCATATTTAACTGTTGACTGAAAGTCCAGGCCTGGCTTAGCTGGGTTCTCTGCTCAGGTTCTCAAAAGGCTGTAGTCTAAGCGTCGGCCAGGCTGTGTTCCTTTCTGGAGCTCGGGGTCCTCTTCCCTTGGCACTTCAGTTCCTTGTAGCTATAGGACTGTTGTCCCATTCTCATGTTGGCTGTCAGCCAAGGGCTGCTCTCAACTCCTTGAGGCCCCTGCAGTTCCTTGCCATGTGGCCCGCTCACGTAGCAGCTTATTCCTTCAGAGCCAGCAGGAGAATCTCTTGCTCCATGCTGCTAAGACTGCATCTTAGATAGTAGGATGTAATCATGGGAATGACTATCTCATCACCTTTGCCACATAACATAACCTAACCCAGGGAGTGGCTGTCCGAGCCACTCTCAAGGGGAGGGTTGTACAGGCTTTACATACCAGGGGGCTGGGATTTTGGAGGCTTTCTTAGAATTCTGCTTCCCACAAAGCTCTTTCAGTTTCTCTCACTCTCAGTTGGCTAAGCAATCAACA